TTTGTGTTGAACGTTGGTAGAATAGTCAGGAGCAGCCAAGACGATGAGTGTATCACACGCTCATGAGTCGTGGACCATCACTGAAAAACTTCGATCCCGGGTGCAAGCCGTGAAATGGGCTTTCTAAAACGATTCGATGGCTTACCTGTCTCGACGTGACCCGGAATACAGACATCTGAAAGAACCTTCGTGTTCAGTCGTTGCTTCTCCAGATTGAGAAGACACAACTACAACGTTTTGGGCCTGCGTTGAGATGCCTCCAGAAGGTAAAGTGAGGTAAAAAATGTTTGCCCAATGGACAGACAGAAGACCGAGGGGATGACCAAAATTAACATGGTGCAGCAGTGCTGAAGCGATCCGGTATGGACACCAGTTGCTTTCTACGAAAGTTTAGACTACAGCGCCTGGTCGAGATTGTTGGACGCACTGTCTGACTGATCTGATTCCGCGACCGGAAAGGAAAAGCGGTGATAAAAATGAGGAAAGATAGTTTTTGCAACTTCCAACTGTGAGCTGTTGATATAAACTCGAAAAGCATTGAAAGATTCACCTTCATAAATCAAACTTTGTGCCAAATGGTCGTTCGATGCGCAGGCTCAGTTGGTGAAAAATCATGGGGAGTTATATTCCATCTTTTAGTAAAGAGATATTGCTCCATGCCGTCACATTCCGTACTGATTACGTTATTGTTCAAAGATCAAAGAAAGGTCTATCCTCAGATATGTCCGGACGACCATACCAGCATTGGGCTACTTTGCTATAACGGTTATGAACGGATGTCTCTTTCCGTTGCCACAGCTAAGTATTGATCAGGCGAAATAAGTGCACTTTCGAGTATTACCTCGATACGACCCAAACATATCTTTTAGTAATGTTTTTAAATACCTAAAGGGCAAGAAATAGTCTTTTTATTTGATACAGAAACAAACTATTTCAATGAAATTAGTGCGGGGCATTGTCAGTTAATTCGGAAATAAAATATGTGAATTAAGCAATTATTTTTTGTTTTAGACTTCTAGCCACTGAATCAAAGGGCATGTAGGCGTGTCTTCACTGATGGCGCGTGTTTTAAGGGGTTTTTCGCCAAAGCCTGCATGTGAACTATTGGGGCTGATAAAAAATTATTCAAGTCAAACGAGAGAATTAAAATTTGTGAGGACCCCGTTCAATACTCCCCTTTATTCTCCTAGCTGTGCAATCTCCACTTTCCTGTGAGTCCTTAACACATTATCAGGATGCTCACGGCAGGTCCAAAATCTAACAGCTGTCGGTGGCTTCACTTCAGTCATTTTAGTGTTAAACATGTCGCAATGCCCCGGGACAGAAGTATTAATGTCAGTTTCGTTCTTGTGTTTGCTTGCCAAAGGGACCCTGATGATATCTTTCGATACATTGCAATTTTCCTATGAATAAGAAACGAAAAATATAGTTTTTAATCGTTGCCCATCAGCCATAAGCGCTTAATTCTTTGGAGGAAAATGTCGAAAGCTTTGTAGCCATCGAAACGTCTATCGCCTGTTTTCTTCCCACATGACGAGCAACGTTCACTGGTCTCAGAAAAATGAAGGTTAGACGACTTGGCCAGAATTCGAACCCTTAGTTTTTAGAAACGTGGTTGGGTTCTG